GACCTTTTTGATTTGAATGCCCCAATGTAAGGTAGTAGACAATGTCCCGAATGTAGTGCCCCTTATTGTTACTGGGTAGTTGATGTATTGTTGGTGAAGGATTCAAAGACTCGACAGCCAAACCAGTGTTGAAGTCAATTGTCAAAGCGCTTTCTGGGCTGTCCCTACCACTCAAATGATCCATCCCCAACAGCACGGGTACCATGTTCTTTGGGTCCACATTCTTGGGGTCAGGCAAACAATACATGTGAAAATTTCGCTCAGTGCCAGAAACTTTGGAGGAAATAGTGACTCTAAAATTGGCTTGCCCCCAACAACCATTCCCAAAGCGAAAGTAAGGCCGCATGTATTTCGCAATGGTCACAGCAGCTCCTCGATCCTGAGCCAGTACAGAGTTGATTAACTTCTGCACGCTAGTTTCAGGCCCAGCACTTGCAGTAGCGCCGCAATCGAGAAGACCAAGATTGGGTGGCATGTTAGTTGCCGCATTGGATTGAGCCTCATAGGTTTCCTGCAGTTCCAAGCCGTACATCACCTGGTTCTCAGCAGCGTAAGCATTCACAACTGGACGGCTTGGTGACTGCTTGGCTTTTCCTTTTCCTTTCCACATCGCATTCAAGTCAGCCAGGCTGGCATGTTTGCCCTTGCCCTTGTTCTTGGACTTGCCTTTACCCTTCATGTAGTAGAGCTCAGCAGTCTCCCAATCCACCATGTATGCATGAGGAGATTTCCCCTTACCTTTCCCCTTCATGTAAGAAGGATGGTATTTGTCAGGGCAATCTCGTGCAAAATGATTTCCACCACCAATGAAGCACTTGCCATCGTTGGGAGGACGCTGATGTCCAAATCCACGGTCTTTGCGAAGCAGGGCAGTTGCTCGTTGAGCTTCGGCCCAAGTCCTCTGAGCTTGAGCGAGGATGTTCTCCGCATCACCCTCAGCCTTCATTGCATCTTGTAGTTGAGGATCATCAGCACCATCATCTTGTAGAGGAGGTTCAGGTTGAGAGTGTTGTAGATCACCCCATTGATCCCAGTCAGGCTCAGCCCAGTAGTCGGCTTCGCTCCAATAGTTCTCACCCCAATCATCATGCCAATTCGGGTCATAGGTCTCGTCAGACACCTGGAAGGACTCATTGTAGTAGCCCGCCATAGAACTCTTCAAGGAAGTAGTGCTGCGTCCAAGAAACTGCTCATCCCATAGAGTCTGAAGTGCCTGTGTCACCACCTCGAACTCAAGACTTCCCTTCGTCGTGGCCAAGATGTCCCTCTTCTCATCAGGACTGAGTCCAGCTGATTGCAACAACCGGAAGCCTCTCAAGACACCCAAGACGAAGCTGTCGGCCAAGGAGAATTCGTTGATCTCACCTTGAACTTCGCCTGCAGCTGAGGTTCCAGGAACTCCAACAGAGCGAAAACTGGCATCAGGTTGAGCACGTCGAATTGGAGACATACCCACAGAGCCTTCTGCAGCCGCTGTAGCCGTAGGTGACGCCGTAGGTCTCGCCGGTGAAGGAGGTGAAGCAGCAGCACCAGGAGGTTCTTCTTGTTCTGGATCATCATTTGCATCATACCACCAATCAGCCCATCCATCACGGGGAGCTTCTTCAGGTAGATCAAATGTTTTGTCATGCTGCTGAATCCCTTTCTTGTCCTCATACAACAGCAGGAGCGCCTCCACGAACTCAGAGTAGCCCAAGGCCTCCCTGACAAGGAAGTTGTTCATGGCTTCTCCAGCTTCACGTCTAAAGCTGAAGTACTGCTGGCATGTTGCAGCAGCGTTCGGCAATGTTCGCCTCACCAGTGGAGAAGCTGCCAATCTTTGTAAAAGATCTCGGACTCCATTCACATGGTCAAATTCCATTGTAGTCCAGCTCATAGCCAATAGTCGAGCAGGACCACGTAGTTTCCCACCAGTTTTGTAGCGCAGTACCTTCTTTTCTCAACTGGTGTGGCCCTCACATACCAACAAACCTCACGTGTATACCTTCGCCATGATCTTGCGCTTCCGTCCCAAACTGGAACGTTTTGTTCCTTCTCAGATGACATCTCCTGAGAAGTGGTTGATGGCCAAAATGGCCTACAAAGGATCCCAGCCGCGTCACTGGGGAGTGCAAATTCAAACTGGTAAAAGAGCTCGGCCAAAAGGTCGTGGAAGTTCAGGACGTAGTATCCCGCTTCGACCAGCCAAAAGGTTCAAGTCCACGCTGTAGCGCCGGAGATTCAAGTCACCTTCAATGACGATCTCAACAGGGCCAAAACGTAAGGCCTGGAGCTTCTGCTCCGCTACCAATGTAGCTGGAGCAGGCAGTGGGGTTATTGGGCTCGACCCCTATCCCAAACCAACAGGTCCACAGCCTAGATGCTGTAGGTCAAGTACACCACTTCCAACCAACGCGCAGCAGCAAGCGCACAGAGCGCTGTTTCCATGCACAAGGCCTCACAGGCCTGTCGCCGGTTTTGGCTTTCGCCAAGGAACTAAAAAGGGGCCCCTACCGAGCCGGATGCAACAGCATCGAAGGTTGAGGTGTGACCTGACATGGCCGGTGGAGTTGCAGTACCCCCATTTCAGGAACCCACCACATATATCTCTATAGGTATCTATAGCCATACCTCATCGCTATCTATAGATATTTACCTATTGCTATGGAAAATACCACCCATCGAACTTAGGTAAATCATCAAACTAAATGGGCCATACCATAGCTATGTTCAATTACTGGAGGATATTATGTACGACTAAAATACGATGCTATTATTGTTGTCATTAGTTTCTTTGTCACATTCCTATGAGAGCTGAAGTTGGGTTTTTTCATCACCAAAAGTGGATTTTTGAAGGATGTTAGCCTTCAAGAATTGGGATTTCGCAATGACAAGTGGGGATTTTAGCATGCAAAATTGAGGATGGATTGAACTGGATGTACCATCTGGAAATCTAATCTGGCTGGAGATTGTTCACCATTTCAATTGCAAAATCATCGACAATGGGTCATGATTTTTTCCATGATTTTCCAGTCGGCCAGATGATTTTCACGGTTTGGTTCCCAGAGAGGAAGCCATAGAAGAAATCGGGATTCAGCGTGATCTAATCATCCAAACCGGGGGTTCATGATCTTGACATCAAGAAAAAATCATGGAAGTCTTTTGGGGCCAGAATTAGTTTGGGAGACATTCTGCAGTTTGTGGTCAAGTCTGCATCAGCTGGATGAAGGGAGACTGTGTCACTAAAACCCTGGCAGCAGCATCAGCCACCAAGGAGTACTACAACACCAGGCTCAGTAACGGAGACGAGGTGCGATGGTTGGAGTTGCTAATGGGATCCATAAAACCCTGGTGTGGTGAAAAACTTTGGTACCCAACATGTGAGATACCAAAGTCCCGCAGCCTTTGGGGGAAGTCCCAGATCAAACCAAATGGGTCATCTATACCATAGCAAGCTGTAACAAATTACCAGAGTGTCAATTCCCATCATATCCCAATTCTTGTTGGTTAAATGCCCAAGAATCACCATAAAATCTAATGATTTCCCACCAAATCATCAATAAAATCCCATTAAATCGCTGTAAAATCCTCGTTAATCACCATTCAATCACCATAGAATCCCATAGAATCCTATAGAATCCCATTGAGTCACCGTCAAATCCCATTCAATCACCATCAAATTAGCATACACCCGGATGACTCTGTCAGAAAACCTGATTGATCGCTGGGATGACGGCAGGTGGTCACTGGGAAATTCAATGCCCTGGAGAAGAACCCGGACCTGGCGCACATCTTTGAGGAGGGGTGGAAAAGAGAGGTGCATGGATGCGATGATAGGCTACAATGAACCATATAAATGGATATGTATATATGTATATATATATATATATATATATGTAGTATAATATATATATATATAATTCCACATTAGAGACGTTGATACACGCAGTGCATATACAACTATAAACTATATATCATATATATATATATACATATTAACATGTAGATACATATATTATATATATATATTTATATGATTATATGTAAACAAACACACATAAATACACATATGATATATATATATATATACATAAATAGATAAATAGATAAAACATAATTAACAAATAAGTAAATGCATATATATATATATAAGTACAGTGCCGCTTTGAATTCACACAGACCGTGCAGAGCTGCGAATTGCATCAAAGAGCTCCCAGCAAGAATATACACATATATATCTATATACACATATACAGATGGGAATTATAAACAGCCATTTTCTTAGGGCTAGCAGCGAGAAGTTGAGGATGCTCTCCAGGACATCAAACGTGGTGGCAACCCCGCTGCCATGCAGCACTACCACAACGAGCCTCTGATGCTCAAAATCAGTGCGGCCACCAAGGTACTGGAAATGATCCACGGTGTATAGTCACGTTTAGAAGTGCTACATATCTATATATAATTACTATAGTACAAACATATGTGTATATATATATAATATCAATCGTATTATAGTTGATTATTATCAATATACTGTATATAATTATAATCATTAATATTATCTTTACTATCATGAATTATGATAGTTATACACAATCTATGTGCATATCATGCACCCAGGTCGAGCCATGGGAGGCGTGCCGGATGAGGTCAAGACCGTCTTGCAGGAGCGAGCGTGCCGGGGATGCCGGGGTTCATTGGCCCCCCCAAAATGGGGTGATTTGTCCCATTTTATGGTGATTTCATGGGATTTAATGGGAGTTTTATGGTGATTTAAAGGTGATTCAATGGGATGCCACGGGGATATCATGTGATCACTGGAATAATGTTGATTAGCATATGAGTGGTTATGGTACTTATTTTATATTTTAGTCAAGTGCATGTACAGATATTGATAATGAACAGGGGCTCCCGAATCTTGAGAATGGCAAGAATTAAAGCCAATAAGATACTGCAGCCACCACGGAGACTGGACAGTGCGCTTTGATCTTTAGTTTTCTAGAACATTACCATTTTGGCTCAGCCATTTTGTTGGCTCGCTTTGAGAACCATTGTTTTCCTTTGACGTGGCCCATTTCTCCCATGGCGCAAGCGATTGTGGTGGGTGGCGGCTTGGCTGGGGTGTCCGCAGCCAACACTGTCCTGGAGTGTGGTGACTTGGCTGCGGCTGCGTTGATGATTGGTTCGGCGATGACAAACTTGCCAGTATATAGATGTTTTTTTTGGGGAGTATGACTATCTATAATCTATATAGTATAGATAATCTATTCCCAGTATATAGAACAAACTATCCATTTTCACTGGGAATCCTGTTCTTCACTCACCAGAATAATGAACATGAACAGAGGGGTTTGAACACTGTTCATCCACCATGACTGCGGAAGCTACCAGGAATATGAACAGCATGATCTTCCAAAGGTTGGTAAATATAAAATATAATGTTTTTGTGGATTTGAACGAACATCACTAACAAATTTGTTCATCTGGTGAAGATGATATATACACACATATTCCCAAGAGTTGGGTGATGTTCAATAAACTAGGACATCTTTACCAAGCCCCGATTTTCGGACCCAAGTTCTGACTTCTCCAAGGTCTCAATGAACAAATCGGTCATTTTTTTCCTCCAATGTCTGTTCAATAAACACATCGGACATCTTCAACTTCAACTTAAATCACAGATCTTTCACAGCAGATTGGTTTCAAATTTTCGGGGCTTATTTAGACACCTTTCAACACCAAACACAACACCCCCAGCCACAATAAGTAGCTCCGCGGCATTCTGAGGCGGCAAAGTGGTCCTGGTGGATAAGAGCGCCTTCTGTGGAGGCAACAGCACCAAGGCCACCAGTGGCATCAACGGAGCAGAGACCCAGACCCAGAAGGCCAAGAAGGTGCGACCCAACAGGGTGGATGGTGGATGGATAGCCTCAGAAAAAACCGGTTTAAAGATGGCTTAAACCGGAAAAAATCCAGATATAACTGGGGTATGGTCTGGAAAAAAACACTGGGTTTTGTGGTTAGGCACTAGTTACTAAATGCGATGCACATGCACGCAGATTGCTCTGTCAATGGCCGTTCTTGTGTGGACAGATTTTTTTTTGCTAGGTTGCACGCTCATTTTGCCGAAGTTCTACTCCCGAGTTCGGCAACTGATATTCTAATTATTTTCATCTTTTCCGCTGGTTTGTGCTAATATTATCTCCCCATTTCTCTGGTTATATCATGCTATATCTGTATAATCGATAGATAAACACATAATTATATATATATACATATTAAATCATAATGTATACAAACCACATAGAGTTATATATATATATACACGTATATATACATACTATGTTGTATCCATGATCTTTTCCGATTTTCGGCCACCTCTGGTCTGCCAGCGGCGCCGTCACAGCTACGCCAGGTGGAGGACTCCGTCCAGCTCTTCACCTCCGACACCCTGAAGGGTGGCGCCAAGAAGCCGGAGCTGGTGAAAGTGCTCTGTGGCAACAGTGGACCTGATGTGGCGAGACGGCAAGATGGCGAGCTGCGGATGTGTTCCTATATGATATCATTATATATATATGATGTGTATATATATATATATATCTGTGTATGTATAATCTAGAAACATAACATACCATAATATGGCTATCCATCTATCTAAGAGTTATCTTTATCCATCTCTATGTCTATCTGTATATCTTTCTATATAGAACACTGATATACCATGTTATTGCCACGCAAATATGGAACACTCCCACATCATATGCCACATCTCCATTAGATAGACGGATAGATAGACAGACAGATAGATAGATAGACAGATAGACAGATAGACAGATAGATAGACAGATAGGTAGATAGACAGATAGGTAGGTAGGTAGATAGATAGATAGATAGATAGATAGATGGATAGAGAGATGGATAGACAGAAAGATAAGTAGATGGATAGATGGATGGATGGATAGATCGATAGATCGATAGATCGATAGATCGATAGATCGATAGATAGATAGATAGATAGATCGGTAGATCGATCGATAGATAGATAGAAAGATAGAAAGAAAGAAAGATAGATAGATCGATAGATAGATAGACAGACAGATAGATAGACAGACAGATAGATAGGCAGACAGGTAGATAGATAGATGGATAGAGAGACATACATACAGATAGATTAAATTAGATTAGAATAGATTAGATTAGATAGACAGACAGACAGATAGAGAGAGAGAGAGAGAGACAGATAGACAGACAGACAGACAGATAGATAGACAGACAGACAGACAGATAGATAGATAGATAACAGACAGACACAGACTGACTGACAGTCTGACAGACAGACAGACAGACAGACGGACGGACGGACGGAGGGACGGACGGACGGACGGAGGGACGGACGGACGGACGGACGGAGGGACAGACGGACAGAGAGACAGACAGAGACACAGACAGAGACACAGACAGAGACACAGACAGAGACACAGACAGAGACACAGACAGAGACACAGACAGAGACACAGACAG